TTTAAATTTTTATGAGTTGTATGACTCATGTTTAATGTCAGAATAATTTAGAAGTCACACACACGATGTATGATGTATTTTAGTAAGTAGGGAAAAATATCAATTTACGGTTTGTTGAAGTTAGAAGAAAAGTTCCGATTTCAAAGCCTTTAGGAAGAGTAACAAAAAAAGTTTTCTTATTTAACAAACAGATGATTTTTATGTTCTATCATCAGTTAGGTATATTGACTAAGTATTTCATTGACAATGATGGAATGATAAAAAGCTTTGCATAAATTTGAAACTTTAATAAATGTTTTTTTTTTTGAGTTTTCTCGCAAAACATTCCCCAATGCATGGGCGTGTAGTGACAGTAATCAGTTTTTAAACTTTGTGGACATGAAAAGAAAAAGAGTAATGTTGGAATTTCCCATTTAAACGTATGTAAGTGGGCTAATGGTGGGAATTTGAAAACGTAAATTTCCACTGAATATTTTTTTTAAATTGTCTTTGGTTTCAATTTACCACGAATGGTTGCCTAGTTTATTTACGATGGCTATAAGTAAATGATATCATAATTTTTAATTTTACTGTAAGTAATTCAATTCCAATTTAAACCTTACGCGGTATTCATCGGAACGTTTGTTGAAGTTATGAGTAGCAAAAAAAAATTCAATTTTTCATTTTTATTTCTGATAATCGTAAGCAGTAACTTTTTTTCTCGAATCAATTTAAATAATTTACATAATTCATTTAAGCTTGTGAATGTTGGAACAGATGATGTTGCTGTTGTGAACGGTCATCCTTTATTTTTTGACTCTCTTTTTCCTTCATTACAATCAACGACACCAGAGACAGTCATCAGTGATTACAGACATAGAAAAAGACTAGACTCTCTTATTGATCACAAAATCGATTCAAAGATGGAAGGTGTGAACGAGTTTAGTGAGAATAATGCTGAGTTTTATGCTGAAGTAATTGGGAAATTGATTGGAACTATTCGTGACGGCATCACGACTTTAATTGATGAAGTTAAGCAACGAAAGCAACAGAAACGAAAAAATTCAATCAATGAAATGAATGAAAGTACGTCCCCTCCATCCGAGATTAGTTCAAACAAAATATTGCAAGCAATGAATACGATTGAAAATATAACAAATGCATTGATGAATGACAATGAATCTACTCTAATGCAAAAAGCTTCAAATGATGCCAATACGATGACAGAAAATCACGAGATTGAATCGAAAGTACTAACGCCTAATCGTGTTAACGCTAATTTAAGTGACTCATTGGAAAAAGAAGATAATCAGATTGAAAGTAATCAATCACAGAGAAAATTATTTAATTTTGCATGGAATGACGTGGTTCAAGTAATACCAAGGAGAACAAAACGTAATCAAAATGAATATCCTAAACAACTTGCTGCTAATAATGTTGAATCTTCATTTAATAATTATGAAAATACGACCGATACCTGGAATAATCAAAAAATTAAATACTTCAGTCAAGATGATGTGACTTGGTTCACCAAACTTAATCAAATTCTTGGACCGCTTTCCAATAATCAAATTCAAAGAAAGAAAAAACTTTTACGATTCGCAACTACTCTTTTGATTCCTTATTTTCATAATGAGTCAATAATTTTGAACGACCTTCGAACTTTATTTAATACTATTGATAGTGATGAGACTTTTAAAGATTTTGAAGGTAGTAACCTCGTTCCAAGTGAAGAATCTTCAATCTTAAAATTTTTGCTGATTCGAGGCAACTCCACATTCATTCAATTAACACCGAAGTTAAAAGTTAGAATATTTTATCAAGATACTGATGAGTATAGCCAGCTTAGAAAACGAACTAAAGCAATTCTTCAATACATTTTTTATAAATATGTTCGCCTTTACTTAATTGCGCGCAAGGGTTATAAAGATGCTCGTCACTTTAACCGCATGGCGAAGAAAATGTTTCCTGAAGAAAATCAAACTTCTTCTTTATCATTCATTTCTCAAGCCAAGTTTCAATCATTACAAAGTTCTGAAGAATTAAAAAAAGAGTTTAACAATAATGAAGACTTCATTGTTGCATCGAATCACGCTAGAAGAAATTTTCAAAATTTTGAAGCAATCGCAATATTAATTATCGAAATTTTTGGTGCTTTCCTAGGACTCACACTTGGGGCTATGCATCATATCGATATTGGATTATTTTAATTTTGTTTTACTTGCTTATCATAATTGTTGCATAATTTCACATGTTAATCTAAACAGTCTATAAATAGAATTTTTAAAATTTCTTTTTATATTCAAAACCTTTTGTAAAATCAATTTTCGCTCCTTTTCCATCAAGCAACATTCTAAATCTCTTTTTATTTAGTTCAAGGTCTTGTCTGTCATGTTAAGATAAGGCTAATTAGAATGTGATTGAAAATGACAGACAAACAACATAAACATAAACATACATTTGTATAATGGAAGATAAAAAATGCTTGGAAATTTTCCAAGAAACTTGCGCTTTTCTTAAAATTCCAATGAAAGTTCTGGAAAATTCTTTTTCTAACCGGCATAAAATATAAAATTTGAAACAACATAAAATCCTTTTCGGAGCTCAATAATCGGTTAAGTTCTATGAAGGCCTTGAGACAAATTTCGATTTCCAAGTCCTTATGTGAGCTTTAACTAACCCAAACAACACCGGATGGTGATGGATATTTAAAGTCACTTTTGTTCACTTTTGTTCACACCAAGGGTTGACGTGAAATTGAATTTAATTTTCTAGATTTCTTTTGCCAACTGATGTCAGCTTCTTAAATCAGTCATAAGTTCAGCTTTCATTCATCAAGATAAATTTCAACACCACCTGTATTTAAAACCAAGGTAGGAAGCGGTGAAAATTTCATGAACCGGACATAAGAACCAAAAGGTATCAAAATAGATTGTTTAGATCCGGAAGCTCAACCAGTTCCGACCCCTGTTTGAAACTCATTCCAAACATTTCGAATTGTTCAACGTGCTACTTAGAAGCTATGAACGGTAAAGTTTCTTCAGAATGAAAATTCTTCTTTAACAAAGCGTTGCCTGTTGCACTTCACTCCGTTAATACTCACAAAAGAAATGTTTTTCTCAAATAAAATTTCCTTTAAACTACAATTCCTGAAATTTTTATCTATTCTTATCCTAATTTATAATTAAAAAAATGAAAAAAATTTGGGTAAATAAATTAAAATGCAAACATATTTTGCTTTCAGCATAATAATCAATTTATCAAGTTTTATACTTGGTTTGCTTTTTTTTTGTCATAAGAGAAATTCATGCAACAAAGTTCGCTTAAAAGGCAAATTCTTTTGTTATCTACGTAATTAAATTAATTTCTCGAGCTCACTTTTCTCTTCCTTTTATTTGTTTATTGTTTGTTTCTTGAGTAGGAAGAAGGAGAATTATGGAGAGCAGAGGAAGAAGGAAGAATAAGATAAAGACTAAATCAGAAGAATGTTTTCTTATCACCACCAATCACCTTTTTTCTTATTTATTTACAGCTTTTAAATTTTAAATTTTCTCACCAAAAATTATTTGTATAAAAAAAGTTTGTTTGAGCTTTATGAAAAGGCTCATAAAGCCTGTTGTAATAAATAATAATTTAACAAAACCTTGTTGAAAGAAGTTTCTTCAAATTTTTAAATAAAAATTACCATTTGATGGCTTTCATGTCTATTATTAATTAAAAATATTTACATTTAGGCACACACTTTTAATTTAAGACTTGTACTAACAAACATACAGTCGACGAGCTATAAGCGCAAGCTCTATGAGAGCAAAAGCCCCAAACATGACCACCCCCTTCAAATTCATTCATATTGAAAAGCCATTCTAAAAGCGGAAAAGCTTCTTATGCGACCACCCCTTTCAGTTTCCGCTTTTAAAGCTTCTCTGTAAGTACCTAAATGTTTTTAAATTTTTAAGAGTTTGAGTTCAAGAATAAAATTGCTAGGAAAATCAAATTTCTATTTAAAAAATAGTATCAAAATTAAAATAATTTTAGAAATAGAATTCATGAAGCCAGAAGTCACGTTTAAATAGGTACAAAATTTGTTAAAATTATAAGCTCCAATATTTACTGAATATTTTAAATGTTCTTCATGATCTTTATCTCTGATGAGTCGCCAAAGCGCAAAAAGTTCACTCTCTGAAGCTTTGATTTTCGAAGTAAATAATTTAATCTCCTATTCTTCAGAAATTCTAATTATGGTGTTTACTAATTCAATTATAAACTTCTGCCTGATATACTTTCATTAGGTTTTTGTTTCTTCTTATTCTCGGTCTATTTGATTAAATTTTTATGTGAGTTCATTCTGACATTTTCTTATTTTTGTGAAATTTACAGCAGCTCGTGATAAAGGCTTACGTGGAAGCTGAAAAAGCTTTCAATTGTCCTTATTTATCATGAGTATATTTAATGTAGCAACAAAAAACGGAGAGGTGAAAGTTAAAAAGGGTTAATTGGACATGACCTGAATGGTAACACATGAATTCATGAACGCTCTTAACAAAACTGCTGAAGCAAAACATTGCAAAAAAGAAAAAAAAAATCTCCAAAAGCATTCATGATAAGTATGTGAGGCACTCAGCAAATAATTCCACGAATGCGTAAAGAAAAATTTTGGAATTAAATTCTTTGAATGAGGAGAACAAAGGTAGAAAAGTATGCTGGGATTTTTTGGGTCTTTGATAGGTGAAATGTTTGTTGTTTGTTTCGCTTTTTATCTCTGAAGGACGAAAATATTGACGTTAAATGTCTCGAACGTGACTGTTAGCAATTTTCATAGGATCATTGTGTTAATAACAGAAATATCCTTGCTTTTGTACGCATGGAAAATAACAATTTTTTTGTTGCAAGCACTTTGTATTGAAAATTTCTCTGATTGCGAGGCATTTAATGGATTATCTAATTCACGATGAATTAGATGAATGCTTTTTTGTGATGATTGCTAGTTTAGTTGTACCATAAAACTAATTTTCCCACTACTACGTAAAGACTTTGATCAAATATTTAGAACTATTCGATGAACTAAGAAGCTCCAAGATCTTTTTTTTTTGTCCCCTTAAGCCATTAGTTTATCGAGCATTCAGTGCAATTTTAAATATCAAATAAATAAAAGCAAATGGCTTTGCAAGATTATTGAACATACTTTAAAAAAGGATTTCAAAATTTATCAGACTTTATCGACCGATATTGTCGAAATGATTTCAGAACTTGAGCAGCTTGAAATTCATGCTCAATTTAATGTGATTTATAAAATAATGTGAGAAAAAAAGAGAAATTGAAAAACATTAGAATGTGACTTTGCCTCTGATTTATTGTGCAAATTTACACCAAAGCGGAAAAAAAAGAGTATAAAACGAAACGTGAAGCCCATTAAATTAGCCATGTTTCGAATGCATAATTAATTTAACCTTTTTCTAGCTCAATTTATAGGTCTCTTGACAACGTTGCGATTCAGGAAAAAAAATCTGAATGAATGTTTCAAAGCAACAGAGCTAATTCTTTAATATAAACAAGTGAATGTTACATGAAGCTACATAAAATTGTTTCTAAGAAAATTCAAAATGTTCTAATTCCACCAAAGTGAATTCTTCATTTCAGAAGAATTCATTTATAATTTATGCTTGCATACATAATAACAATGAACTCTCGACATAATTTAATGTCTCTGCAGCAACCCTGAAGATCATCATAAATAAAAACTGATAGCAGTCTCTGCATGAGAAACTAAACAAAAATTGCTTTTTATTTATCAATCAGTCTAGAAAGCTATCAAAAACAACGTTCACATGTTAATAACGATTAAAAGTTTGATTTTGCTACGCGTCTGCAGAAAATATTTCAATCTGATTGAAGTTGAAAATTCAGATGACGCTCATCAACCACCTTTTGTTTGCTCGATAAAGTTTAAGATAGGGTCGGAAGCACGCTTTTCGTTAGTGAAAATTGAAAACATCCTTGATAACCATCATTACCATTAAAGCATCACGTTCTTAATGAATTTATTCCATGGTCTTAGAATATTTTTCATCATGAATAAGAACAACTAAAAGTGAAGTTCTTAGGTTTATTCACACTAGCATTAAAAATTCATTAAACTTTCGCACATCATTTATTTTCGTATGTGGAACTTCACATATTATAGTGTAGACGAAGACAGAATAAAGCTCGGAAATGGGCCAACATAGCTTCTCATACCAGATTAAACATATTCTCAAAGGCGGTGTAACTGAAATGTGAACGAATGATAGAAAAGAAAATTTATTTCATTCTAAACAAAAGAAAAGAAAATCATTTTCTTCATCTTAGATTTCTATTCCGCTTATTTTTGTGGTTTCAAATTGTTAGATATGCATCTGAATTTTATTCACGTACACGATTCAGGAAATAGAGATTTATCATAAGGTTGGTGTGATGAAAAAATAATATCACAATCATTAAGGAAATCTTTTCTTTTTCTGGTTTATTCCCACTTTGCTTCGCTATTTCCAGTTCCAACTCAATGCCCACAATCATAGGTTGTTTAAGTACTAAATGTGATGATGATAAATAAGATGCCAAGTATTATATTATTATTGGACTTAGCAGATATTTATATTATGAATGAAAGGATCTTGTTAATCAATCTTAGACATTAGCTGTTGTTACATTTGTTGTTGAATAAAGTGTAACTAAATTAATTGTTGCCTTTCTTCTCTTGGTTTTGGTTTTTCTTATTTCTTTTGACCTAAACACATTTAAATTAAATACGAAATTTATTTCGAAATTTCTATTCATATGTATGTAGGCTTATGTTTGTTAATTCTTAATTAACGTTATGAAGAAGTTTTAAGACCTGAGAATATTTTTATTTTTGTTCTTTTTTCTTAATTTTTTTCAAAAAAGTTTTGTTAGGTTTTGAATATAAGCACCAGCCTTACTAAATTTTATTTTTAAAGGTAATTTAAAGAAATTTCTTATTTCATGTGCTAATCATATCACCAGATGACATTGAAAATATCGTATTGAGTCTTCTTAAATGACGGCATAAAAAATGTTCATTAAAAAATTTACACGAAAACTTTTACAAGCTGCTTCAAATAAAAAATTTTACTTTTGTACAGCACTTGATTAAAATGTAAAAGACAAATTTACATCCGGAAATAAAATATTGACAGAAGAATAAAATAGAAGGCAAAATCAAAATAACATTCATTTCGTTTGCAACTTTGAAATACAAAAAATGGTCACTAAAGTTGCGTTAATTATTTTTATTTGTTGCTTAGGGTTGGTCTTGTCACAAAGGGAAAAGAAAAAGAAAAATCCATCAAAGATTTATGTTCGCAACGTATGTATTTGTGTTCCAAAGGGATCATGCAATGCTGATAACACCGATGGATCAGGAATAATAAATCCTCGCATTATGACGGTAAAGATTTTTTTTTAATTTTTCACAATAAACGCCTTGAACGTATAAATTAATTAGAATGGACGACCTCCAAAACTTGTAAAAGGGACAAGCAATGACAAAATGAAGCCACAATGGACTGGTATATCTCTTGGTAAGAATGACTGCATGTTTAACCATGATTTTTGTGAAATTATTCCTTCTTTTAGCTGTTCAGAATCAAAAACGTTGCGGAAGAGACTTGGAGTTGTGTTGTCCTCGGAAAGGTTTTATGTGTGGCAAAACCTATCCACCTGTAAGAAGAGGTCCTAAAGCAGACACTCGTAAAGGTGAAGCTCAATATGGAGGGCATCCTTGGCATGTGGCTATTCTTAACAACGACAATTCTTACCTTGGAGCAGGAGTTTTGATTGATCATACAAATGTTTTAACAGCGGCTCATAAAATCGATAACATTGCGTAAATATCAAATTATAGTTATGCAAGTAAATTATCTTTAACGAATGCGAAACTTTTAAGTCTTCCATTGAAAGTACGATTAGGAGAGTGGGATGCTGCCAATGATGCTGAACCTTACAAACCAATTGAGATACCTATTGAAAAGGTCAAAACGCATCCCAAGTATAATTCAACAAATCTTCACTTTGATCTTTCCGTTCTTCGTTTGACAAAATCCGTTCCTTTGGGAAAATTTCCAACAATCACAAATATATGTTTGCCAAGTAAGAATTTAATTCGTGGTAATTGAAAATTATTTATCTATACGGTTCATCACTCTTAGATATCGAAATGATGTCGCCAACGAGATGTTTAGTAGCTGGATGGGGAAAAAATGAGTTTTCTTCATCTGGAAAATATGAAATGATATTGAAAGAAATTGATTTACCTTTAGTCGATTCCAATGTCTGTGAAAGGCAACTTCGAGCTACCCGCCTTGGAAGAAGGTTTAGATTAAATAAATCATCTTTTGTATGCGCAGGAGGAGAACAAGGAAAAGGTTTAATTTCATAGAATGAAACTGAAGAACAAATTTAAAATTTGAAATCACCAGATTCTTGCACTGGAGATGGTGGATCGCCTCTTGTATGCTTAGTAAACGAAAATTGGTATTTGGCTGGTCTTGTTGCATGGGGAATTGGTTCAGTTTGCTGACAGTTTTCTCATTCTTGAATGACAATTTCTTTTTTTCAGGTTGCGGCCAAGAAAATGTTCCTGGAGTTTACGTTAATACCTTTGACATGACTGATTGGATTCAAAAAACCACAGCAAGGTAGGTCATTTGATCTTTCATTGGTTTTTTTTTGTTAAATGTTTTATTTTCAGACTTAACCCAAAGAGAAACAAATCAAAAAAGCGAAAATCAAAAAACTAGAAATCAAAAAACAAAAAATCTGAAACACGAAACGACCTAGGCTGACTCTGAAAACCGAAAAATTTATTGTAATCTTCCTCAAACATTTGAAAAATAAAGAAAGATATTTCATTTCAAATAAAAAAAATTAATTATCAATTTCATTCCTGATGTGCCTTTCAACATTATTAAAAAATCTAAGAAATGTTGACAAAATTATTTATTGAAATATTTTAATACAATCAAAATTTGGTTTGTAATTAAATGTTGACATCGGAAATTGATATCAAATTAGCAAGTCCTTGTAACTTTTATACCTAATAAAAAGACAAACATCGTTGAAACAACAAATATTCGAAACAACAAATTTCACTTTTTCATCTATTCAGGTTTGTGTTATTAAAAAAATCACAACTTGTTGTTGCTGATGAAGGAACATGAAGAAACGACATGTTTAGGTATTTTTTTATTACGAATCCATTATAAATATGGCTACACAAAAGCATCGAAAATTCTTTTAAGTTTGAATAGTGCGACGTAAAAGTGAAACTAAAATATGATAAAAATTTTCAAATCTATTTTTATTCTTTGTGGAATATTTCAAATAGCAAACTTCCAAAATGTACCAGGAGTTTGCTTTTGTGTACCTACAGGCACTTGTAATACTGCGTCAGGAATAAATAAAAGAGTTAGAAGTGGAAATAAGTTTATTGTAAGATAAAGAAAATTTTTCCATCACATTTGATATCAATTTTTTATTTAAAATTTATTTGAATTGTATTCTAAATCTTATACAAATCTAAATATTTTAATTTCATTTTTCTTTGTTTTTTAAGATGGTTAAAATCATGACTGTAAGTAAAGATTTTCAGCAAACTTGAAGAAAAATTTTAGCGATTTTATTCAAAATAAATATAGAATGGAAATTCATCATCTGAAAGCACTGGAACCACGCTTCAGTTAACAAATCCAGCATCTCCAGGAATCAACACAAGTAAAAACAAGAAATTTTTAATCAAATTATAATTTAATGACAATTTTCTGTTCTACCCAGTTGTTACCTCACAAACATCTTGTGAGAATGGATTGGAATCTTGCTGTCCACCAGAAGGCTACAATTGTGGTATGAAATATCCTCCTATTGATGGGTCAAATGAACCAGCAACAGGTAGTTCATTTTAAATTCTGACTAATGAAATTTAACTATTTACAAATTAAATTTTTCCAGGTCAAGCTGTAAGTTAACAAAAATTCATTTCTTTGATATGCAAAAATAATTTGAATTTCTGAAACAAACAACTTTAGCCGTTTGGTTCATATCCTTGGCAAGCAAGTAACGAAAGCTACAAATTATGTGTTTATGAAAAATCAATTATTATCTATCTATCATTTGACTAGTGATTTTAGCTCCTGGAGATACTTATCAAGGATCTGGAGTTATAATTGATCATCTCCATATTTTGACAATAGCTCATCGTGTGAGCTCTTTTGTGTAATGTAGTCAATCATTTTAATGTCAGGTCTTCTTACAATGAGAATATTTTACCAGGTCAAATCCAACACAGTTAAATGTTCGTTTAGGAGAATGGGATGCATCATCAAATGGAGTGCTTGAGCCACAAGAATATAACATCAATCGGATATTTATTCATCCACAATATCAAACTTCAAATTTGGTAAATGATATTGCGATATTACGAACATCCGAAGCAATCAACCTTGGATCAATCCCAACAATAGCAACAGTTTGTTTGCCAAGCACGTCAGTTACAAATATCAGATGTATGGTGTCTGGTAAGAGAACAAATTTCAAATTTGAAGAAATGAAATTTCAAATGATTTTGAAATAAACTTTTCAATCAGGTTGGGGTCGCAATGATTTCTCATCGACTGGTACATATCAAGCAATTAAAAAGGAAGTAGATCTACCACTACTGAATCCATCAACTTGTCAAAATCAACTACGTGCTACTCGTTTGGGCGCTAATTACAACCTAGATTCTAACAGCTTTGTTTGTGCTGGCGGCGAACGTGGAAAAGGTAAGAAAATCTTTTCATTCTGTCGTATTAACTCATAACAGAATTTCTATTTTGTTTTACAGATGCCTGTACTGGTGACGGCGGAAGTCCATTATCATGTCTTATTGCAGGAAATTGGTATGTAATTGGATTGGTATCGTGGGGAATTGGCTGTGGGCGACAAAACGTTCCGGGTGTTTACACAAACGTGGCCAACTATATTCAATGGATTCAACAAACAACACGATCTTAGAAATTAATTTTCAACCACATCATCTTCAATTACTAAAACATTAATATTCTCAAGGGGTAAGGTGGAGGAAATCGGCGATTCAAGCAACTTTTTTTGGGAATTTTTCGAGGTAGCAACCCACTTTTGTAAGCAACCTGCATTTTTCTTAATCAACTCAGAAGACTTGAAGAAAGAAATCCACAAATGAGCAACAAAAACTTTATTTATTTTCAATTTTCCCGTTTTTCTTTTTAGTTGTAAGTTCTTTCTTGTCAGCAACTATCTCAAATTTTAAATAAATAAAAAAAAGCAATTACAAGCAACACTGAAAAGTAAACAAAATTTGCTTGAAACTGCTGAAAAATATTAAAATTTCATAAGCATTTTCAAAAAATTTCATCAACCTAGCAATTTCACCGGTCGACTTAATCAACCGTCCGTACACACCCCTAGATAAATAATATTTAATGTCTGAATATTCCATTACTTGAGTTTTTATTGAAAAGCGTTTATCGTAAATCATAGAGGTGGCATCAAACTAGCAATTTTTTATAGGATCCGCAAGTAAAATTCTCTCGTCAGATGTATTATAAATAAATCCTAAGCCAACCAAAAACTCTTTATTTTCCTGTTGCTGTGTTTCGTGTAAAAAGAACTTTTTGAAATTTTATTCACATAATTTTTCGTGGGATTATTTTAATTCATTTCGTCCTACAATTTACATCCTACATAGTTCGCAATTTACGTCAGTGTCAACGATATTCAAAGTTAATTTCTGGATAAGCGAAGAGTGATTGCTTTGAAACTATTTTGAAAATTCAGATTTAAATAAAAATATTAATCTTAAATGAGTTTAACAAAAATTATTGTTGTGATTTGCATAATTTTTGGAGAGCTTTTAAGCTCGTTTGAATCTAAAAATTCGGCATTCAGTAGGTCTCTCAGGTATGAAAATATCGTTTCATTCTTATGAATTGTTTTCAAAACTTCTGAAGCAAGTGGATATTCAGAAACAAAATACAACTCACAACGAATTCGTGTATTCTCTAATTGATGAAGGAAATTTATACACGAATAATCTTTCAGAAAGAAACCATCAAAGGCATCATGCTTATGTGTTCCAAGCGGAAGCTGTGATCTAATGCGTGGCATTTCAAATGCAGATGATTCCATGGACGTTGGAATTATCAATGTGAGTTTTTTATAAATTTTTTTATCAAAGTTCTAACAAGCTCTGAAGTGACCTCAAGTCATTATATTCATTGTTACTGTACATTCATCATTACACAAATTATTCTTCTATTTTGATGGTTTTTGTAATGTAAATTATTAGTTGTTATTATAAATGTAGATACTACAAAAATAGAATTTAGGAGAAAAAAAAGAACTAAAAGATAAAAATTACAGTCGACGCTCTATAAGCGGAAGGTCTATGAGCAGAAAAGCTCCATGAATGAACCCCCCCCCCTCCTCAGCTTCCGCTTATAGAGATTCCACTGTACATAGATAGATTGGAAAGTGTTTGCATGAAATAAATTTAATATCTTCCACTTCACCGAAAAATTTATTTAGTATTTTGGTCCAAATTTTTTGGGAATCCCAGAAGGACAGTCAAAATCTTCTGAGGTTACATCATACATCGTTAATCAAAACACCTGCCAAGTAGGTTTTGAAAAATGTTGTCCTAAAAATGGATATTCATGTGGCATTCGGTACCCACCAATTTTCAGACCAAAACCTCAGAAACCTGGGCAAGCGGTAAGATTAAATAGTTTTAAAATTTTATTTAATTGATTATTCCTTCAGTTATATGGCTCCTATCCTTGGCAAGCTGTTATATTAGATCCAAAGGGTGAAGTTTATATTGGGTCAGGAGCTCTTATAAACAACCGGAATGTCATAACTGCAGCGCATAAGATAAATTCATTACAGTAGTCTTGAAAAATTATAGAATTCATTTATTATTTATAAAACATTCCCCTCTAGAAACAAAAGACTTAAAGTTCGTCTGGGTGAATGGGACGCATCGTCCCCTTCAGAACCAATTCCATCACAAGAATTCACCGTCATTAAAATATTTATCCATCCACAATTTTCTGAATTAACATTGCAAAATGACATTGCAATCCTTCGATTATCTAAGCAAGTTGAAATTGGCTCTTCCCCAGTTATTGGAACAATTTGTTTGACTTTAAATCCAGTTACAAATATGAGATGCTTTGTAGCAGGTAACTTACATACATCTATCACTTTTTTAAGTAACAAACAAATTTTATTTAAACTTCAAAGGTTGGGGCAAAAACGATTTCGAAAGTGGATCTTATCAAGCAATAATGAAAGAAGTTGACGTCCCTATAATTGATCCGTATACATGTCAGGTTCAATTGAGAGAGACGAGACTTGGCCAAAAATTTGTTTTAGACACAAAAAGCTTTGTTTGCGCTGGTGGCGAATTTGGAAAAGGTAAACATTTTAACAGCATTCATGTTAGTATAATTGGAATTTGAGGATCAGAATTTTCAATTATTTTTAAGATGCATGTACTGGTGATGGCGGAAGTCCTTTGGTATGTAATCTGAACAATAGATGGTATCTTGTAGGTCTGGTTGCTTGGGGAATTGGCTGTGGTCAATATAACGTTCCAGGTGTTTATGTCAATGTCCCAAATTTCATATCATGGATTGAAAAAATTATGAAATTGAAAACATGAATATTGGAAATCTCAGAATTTATTTAATGTTCTGTAATAATTATAACAAATTAGATTTACGAATACAACAAAACATAATATTATGACAAAAACTGCAATTTTACGAGTACAAACTTTGACGGCAAAAAAATCTGATTAACTAAGAAAAATATTGATAAAATAAGAAGTAACGTAAATGGCACAACAACATGTTAACAATGCTTAATATTTAAATCTCTTTGGGATATGAAATAAAACGAAATAGATTAAATTAAAATCTTAACAGGCTTTTAAACTTCTTTTTATGAATCTTAAAAGAAGTTAAAACCCATCTTCGCTTTCAGTTATTTTTTAAGTTTTCAAAGAAAGCGATGCTGCTACGTGTGACGCCTGGTTGAATTTCTGGACTTCCTTCCCTCTCATTATGACGCACAATTGACTCTTCGTCGTAAGAAATAGATTTTCTAAATAAGCGAAAAGTTTCTCTATGATTTCATTGTTCTTTTAAATATGATTTAAACTTACTTTAAGTCAGCTCTAATTTGTGAAGGAATACTTCTCGCTGTTATCGATGCAATTGGAGCTGCCGGATGATAGTTGTTATTATAACTGGGGCCAAGTACTTCCGATGTTGTTTTAGTGATTGCTTGATGTGCAGTGGTCTCAATGCCATTTTCACTTGTTGCCGAAAAAGTCTTTACAGAAACCGTAAAGAAAAAAATGTTGTTTGAATTTGAATTGAACATCAATCAAACATTTTACAAAATCTATCACAAAAACAAATAATCAACATAAAATTGTTAATAAGCACCAAAAGTGTTATTAACAAAATATTGTGATTTAAACATGCAAAAATGAGTCTGACAACACTGAAATAATAATAATACCTTTTTTAAAATGATTTTCTGATAGCGATAAAAAAAATATAAAAAATAGATAAGAAAGTTTTGCAATTGAAGCAAGTGAATGAGTTATTTTATCGGTGAAGTAACATTTAAGTTGCAACGTCACCAATAATTTTTTTTACTCCTATAAATGTTATAAGCGAGAAAATAGTTGAATGTGCTAAATATAAAATTTACCTTGGGCTTTTTAAGTATTATATCTTGTGTGGATGAAGCTTCCTTGCCATAAATTTCGGCAAGTTTTTTCACTGATGGCAGACTTTCAACAACATCCGGCTCTATAACTTGTTTGTCTTCATAGGTTTCCTGAAAAACATGATCCTAAGTAAACCCAAAACCTTCGTCAAGTCTTGTGATGTAGGACACTTCTAAAAATCATACTTACCGAAACGTTGTTGCCATTGTGTAGACTGCGGTGTGATGTTCTGATAACAGTCGTGACTTCGTCATCCATTTTACGAATTGTCTGAACCTTTTTCGTTGAAGTGTCGAAGAATTGCTGACCAAATTTAACTGGACTTTCAACAATAGGAACGATAATTTTTGTCTCTCCCGTATTCAAGTTGTAAACTCGGGTCGTGTCGGAATTTTCGCTGTACGTGAGACTATTGTCATTCGACTTCTCTGATTTAGGAGTCAGCGACAATTTTTCATGACTCGTTGAAACAATTACTTGATCTAGCGTTATCAAGCCACCTGCTGTTGTGTCGATATCACTAGTTTGTAACGTGGGTGGACTGAAACCTTTTTCACTGATTGAAACCAAAAGAGTAACGTTATCAGAGCGCTAAGGAAAGAAAAATGAGAATGAGAAGCAATATTTTACTTAAACTCTCTATTTCCAAAACCATGTACAAATATATTAATTTAATAGTGATAAGATAAATATTTTTTGTTAACTGTAATTAAACGATGCGATAACAGCTTTAGTTGTAGGAAAGCAGTCTCGAATCTTTATAATTTATTTTTTTCTAAATTATGTAGATAGTTATTGATAACATTATAATGTAAACCTGATTTCTACAATGTATGACAAATATGAAACTATGCTCCCCAACATAGATAGTTTTAACCTTGATCAACTTCTAGGAAATGGTTAAATGAACGTTAAACAATTGAAATTATATTTTTAGTACTCTAGGATTCCAATTATTTAATAATAAAAACATAAAACATAAGCATTCAGGCAACCAACGATTTCCAGAAATGTATGAAATTGGAAAGTTAATATTTGTTTGTGTGTATTTTTTAACACAATTTCCATTTATTTATTTTATTTCGAAAAATACACACAACTTTTAGCTGACATTAATAAATCAAATATATTTTGTGTCCTTATCTTAGCCTACATCATTATTTTATCGTTGTTTACAGTTTTGATATTCATTTTGAATTCACTATCTACTAGATTGTTGTGACAATTTTGAAGAATTCTTTATTGCTTTTATGTAAGATTATAAAGTGAAATAAAAAGTACTTAAAGTATTTTTGTAGAAACAAATTGACTAATAAACTCTGAATGCCCTCATGATTAAGTAATTAAGACTAGACCTTTCCAAAATAAATTTTAAACTGAATTCGAATATGTATTAAAAATATCTCTAACCACATTAAATTTATGCAGATTCACATGTAAATTTTTAAAGAAAGCTTTGCTTCAACAGATCAAAATAAGACCGAGCAAAATTTTACGCAACCAAATAAAAAAAAAATGTTTAAATTTATCTCAATTGCATGTTATCTGCTTCAGATGAAAAAAGATGTCGATCCGAAGTTAAGGATCTGATACTTCCATGACTACGACGTACTGTATTTAAATCTATGAAAATGTTTTCTACGAAATTTGATTTAATTTCCTCAAGCGAAGTTTGACAATTATTTGTGGTTGATGTTTCGGTTATTTTCAAAGGTTCTTTAAAAGCTTTCTCAAGCGTGGATTTATTTTCTAAACATATTTCATTCGTATTTTGCTTCTCTTCAAACAACGGATTCAAACAAAAATTTTGTGTTCCGGTTCTTGCGCGAAAACTTTCTCGCTTTAAATCAGTATGTAACATTTGGGACTCGATTTTTCTTATAATTTCTTCAGGAATCAATACTTCATCTTTAAGATATTCACAAGATTCATAATTTCTCGATTCAAACGACAATGATTCAGAAACTGAATTTAAAAGTTTCTCAAGCAAATAACTTTTATCTTGGTGCTGATTAATAATTTTTTTATTAAATTTAACATCACTCACATCGTCATCTGTTTTTATGTTTGATGATGTTGATGAATTTGAGCCATAAGATGTACGATTCAAATGAGCTTCTGTTGCATCGTTGATGTAGTAATCACGTTTGTATCTGAAAATGTTTGAACTTTTATAGCAAAATATCGAACGAGCTTCTAAACTTACTTCTTAATGTCAAGTTTTCGCTGTTGAAAAACTTCTTGATCCTCATCATTATCAGTATCCATTGAATTTGATTCTTCAACTAAGGCATCGACAATTTTTGAGTTGTTGCTTAAATCTAAAGTCTTTTGTTTTTGATCAGGTTCACTCAAACGTCTCTGAAGCGCTTCAGTTGAATAAGGATTATTAGCAATTGGTGGAGCATGCAACCATTTTCGATGTTCACGGTCAGCAATTGAACCTAAGTATGAAAACAAAATTGAATTTTTAGTTATTCTGAAGAATTAAAATCTTTGTTCTTCTAACCCGGAACAACGTTCTCCATCAAAACTTTCTCGGGATCATTAATACTCGAACGCTTTTCTGGAACTGAAAATTGTTTTAGAAACTCTTCATCAAGAGCATCTTCACTCTTTTTTTGATTAGTTTTATTAGTTGTTGTTAATTTTACGTCTTCTACATTTTCTAAAACTTTCATCTTTGGTTCTACACTTGCTACTAAGCTGGCTGTTTGCAGAATCCTAGAAATTGACTGATCATCAGGAATATTTTTCACTTCTTGGGTGGTTGCAACTCTCACAGGTTCGATTGGTTGCGACAGAAGTTTCTCAAACAACGGACTACTATATCGATTATGCTTTGGACTTAGTGCAACCACTACTGGCTTATCATCATTTCGACATATTTCTGTTTGTACAGTGTGTGAATCGTCAATAGTATGTGATATTTGTAGTTTATTAAGTTCAGTTATAGACTGAGCACCAAAATTAAGACTTTCCAATTGTTTCTTTTCTTCATTATTAGGCAACATTACCCAATCTTCTAAATCTTTTAATTTATTGAATACAAATAGTGAAACCAATTAAATAAAATGGCATATGAGATAGGAATGATTGCAAAATTGTGAATATTTTTATAAATTAATTACTTTGATACTGATAATGAAAATGATAAAATTATTTGTTAAACTAATAAAGCAGATGGACGTCAAAAAAATTTGGATTAGACTTTTTAGTTATTTTTTGTGCTTCTTCTAATGATGATTCAGGAGTAAAGGGAAGTGCTTCAAAATCAACCTTTGCTATTTATTTATGTTCATGCATAGTTAGGTTTACAATGTTACGTTCATAAAAGCGTATTTAGTCGTTGAAATGATGGAGGTGATGTTGATGTTGTGAGTAAAAACAAAAAAATTACCAAAACTAATGGTTAGTACAATTTGATTATGTTATTATGATTTAGATACTTTTGATTTTCAAATAACACTCACCAGGATTTATTGAAGGTTTATCTTCTGTGCTGCTTCTAAAAAATTGAAAGTTATCTTCAATGTGAAAAAATTAACTTTTTTTTTTCAATACCTTTTGTTATTCTTCACTGTATTTGGTAATGAAATTGAGCCCTTGCTGTTGTTGTTATCATCCATCAATAACTTTTCAAATTCATCATCAATACTTTTCTTATGTTCGCGAACTTGCGTAGGACTAACCATCGAATCAAAATCTTCTTCTGTTGATTCATTAATCTGAACTGATAAATCTGACAAAGCACTCATATTTGCTGTCACTTGTTCGTTGATTTTGAAGTCACCGGTTTTTTGAATGGTTTCTGGTGTGTTCAAAATTGGATCATTGACAAGTAAAAGATTGTTTTTTGCTTCAGTTATTGTTCCAGGTCCAATCTCCAGACTAGTCAATGATTGCATCGATTTCAGGCTGTCATGTGCTGTGATTTGGGTAAATTTTTTGTACACATTTTCTTCAGCAACCTTCTTGTCTGTAACAATCCTAAATTTACTCTCTTCTTCGATGTCAGAATTCTCTGATAAATCGCTTGTCTCGTCAGCATTCTTGTCGCCAATCAATGCCTTTATATCCTCAGTTGGCGATGGCACGAGCATTGCAATCGATTGATTTTCAGTCTTCAATTTTCTTTTTTTAAATAACCAATTGTCTTCCCATGTAGCGTCAGTGGCATTTGATGAATTAGCCGACTGAATGTCAACTGTAATTACAATCGTGATTTTGTCATTAAAATTTCATATTTAATTGATTACTTACAGTCTTCATTCGCAGAATCCGATTGGGAAAAGTCCGGGAACGGCACAAAATGACTCTGAATGTAATCTGACAAATGATTTTCATTGTCAGCTTTGGAGTGGTGTTTTTCTATGGTTTGGGACTAATTGAAATTGGTTAGAAAATAAAATATTAACGAGTTGCATGCAAACAACCAAACAAACAATTCCAAAACTTACATTGACTTTCTGCTTTATGGCTTCATCTCGCTCAACCATTAAATCAATCACAGCTTTTTCATTCAGGTGATTATGGTTGCTATCCAACTCGATGTCCGAATGCACACCAGAACTATTGTTTTGCGAATTTTTATCATTTGGATTCTGGTAAAAATCCGTCATCTACGAAGCAAGAAAATTAAATTTTATTCTCGAGGTTACTCTTAGATGAATTGAAAAGTAAAAAAATGCTTTCAAAAAAACAAGAAACTAGAAAGAAATTGTTTTGCTTCTAATACTTCTTTGAATTTTTAATCAATGGTGAAACCTTAGAATCGTTTACTGCTGAATCATTCAGTACAAAATATTTTCATGTCACTCATATTTGAAGCACCAACTTTTTTTTAATATAATTACCTTGTTTAAGACGGCTGTAGCTAACAGCTGTTCATATTTTTTTGGATCAAAATAAGGCAATGGTTCTTCTGCTTTACTTGAAACACCAGAAAAATTGAATTTTCTAGGTAGATTCATAATGTCTTCGCATATTTCCTGAATAAACATCTTCAGCTCATGATGAGTGACATTTGCTGGAATTGGGCCAATCAACGGCAAACCTTAAATTAAATAATTATAAAATGAATAATTAACAGAATTCAGTAATGCAAATTTTAAAAAATATTCACACATTATATCAAATTAGACAAATTACTTCAATAGTGGATTGTGTAAGAGCAAGAGATTTTCGAGTGATGGAGTGAGACTACAAATATTTAAAAGATAATTTACTCTCTATTACTGTAACCTGACAGCTAAACCTCTCAAGTACAAATTGCTCACAGTTTAAAACATGTATTAAGTTATCTTAGTTTAAACTTTAAAGTTCAAAGTTCCTGCCAAGTCAAAACCGGTTTCTGTCAAATGGTTTTCGTTAATACAATTTGATATCAGTTTTATTTACATTGATAATTAGGTAACTGGAATGTCTTAATGAATTAATGAATTAAAGATAATTATGAACTGCATTTCTTATTAGATAATTTTCGAGGAAGGTGATAAATAAAAATCGATTTCAACTATAAAAAACCATTTTCTAATGAAACAAAACACAAAATGATGAAAATGTTTTTATCAGTTGCTTATCAAGGATAGCTCAAAATTATCAAGCATTTGTAGAAGTCGAAAACCACAAAAATTCATTGGATATGTAAAAGCTTTCAGCAACTGAAGTTTTGTGAATCACTTTAAGTAAAAGATAGTTTCAAGGCTATGATGAAAATAAAGTATTTATCAGTAAATAAAAGTATTTCGTGTACTTTACCTAAAATTTCCTCGATAATGTAGAAGACAACGTATGAAATTACAGCAATTTTAAGGTAGATCTCGACTAAATCATATTCCCACAAGAAATTTATCAAGAAGCAAAACATTGTTCCGTTCTTAAGTGCTTCAATATATTAATTATCACTTTAAAAAAACGTTAATTGACGCTTGTGTGTCGTAGTACACAAAATAAATATTAAGTTAATAACAAGCTGTAATAAAAAGTTCATTTACAAGTAATTGCTTTACTTTTTCACTCGTGATTATTTTTTTCAACTTAATTCATAAGTAAATTTCTCAGAGAGAACTTAACTCCAAGTGCATTCGTGCAAAGTCATTTTTAATCACGTTTGATAATTATCACGCAATTTCTAGAAACAAAATCTAACAAAATTGATATTTTCAATAAGAATTGTTAAGAATGTAGCGTGATGGAAAAAGTATTCAAGTCTTGTGAGAAATTCAAATTTTCATCAGACTAATTATGCACTTCAAACATTATCAATGAATTTTATAATTATTGGGTGTAGAGGTAAAAATTAATGATTAATTTTTTTTCAAACAAGGTTTAGAGAAGTTTCTTCTCTTTTCTAGAATCTCGAAGCAAGATTAATAAATTAAAAAGATAACCACGAAAATCACAAATCACAAAAAAATATTAAATCACGTTTATTATAAATAAATTCCTGTAGGAAATTTAAGAGCTTGCGAATTTGGAAACTTTGAAAAATTTGGTTTGAATTTCAGTATTTTTTCACTCCACTCAACTCTACCATTAGAAACACAATCGGCGTTTGTCCGACGACTTTGAATCTAAAGTCTTCACAAAAGAAAAATTCACGCTTATCACGATAAGTTATCGATTGCGCTTGGCTGATAACAACTAAGACCATTAATCATTGATGTTCCCAAAAAAATTGTGCAGACATAAAATTATCTGTTTATATACAGCACAGCGTAAATTCCTCAGGAACTTTACATTTCTTGACTTAAACAACTTGCGCACCCGGACAAACTATTAAGTAATCTTGCGCGCAAAGTTCAAAAAAGCTCACTCACTTCAATCGAGCATTGAAACAGGTCTTGAGAGAGAAACGATGCTGTCGTTAATGAAATAGCCTTTCGAAGATAGGAAGTATCGATATTTACATGTGTTAAAAATTTGTCTATAACTCAAGTGTTTCTTTCAGTGATGAATAACGCATTGAGTGTGTTTGTGTTTAATTATATTGGTTTTTATCCAATGTATTTTAATCAAGAAGAGATTAGTACGATGTTTGTTAACTTGTGTGTGCAATCGAATAAAATTTTTATGTTTATTGTGTTCAATAAATTAGAAGCTACTACGTATATAAATGATTATTTAGAAAGGGCTCAGTCAGTTGACATGCACACGTATTTGGCTTTCCGACATCCATGATAATCATTTAATTTATTTTTGAAAGTTATATTTTTTAATTATAAATCAATTCTTGTTGAGAAGTTATTATAATCTACTTCAAAACTTCACGCAGTCCAACATAACGTGCTACGAAAAAAATGCCGTACAAACATTCAACAACCTTCAATCGAGAGTGTCCAAAAAAAATCTTAGAGGTAACTTAACGTGCGATTAATACAAAAGATCAGATACGCTTTCATGATTATTTTACGTGCTGGTGTATATTTTAATAGATAAAATCTTAGCTTACCGAAGAGCAGCGAGTGATGAATAGAATTTTCCAATTTAAATAGTAAAGCGCTAAGTTTTTGATGATAATTTTCAAAAATTTCGACGTCTGATAAATGAAGAATTGCGAATTTGACGTAACAATTTAACAGAAATTTCGTCTTGTAAATTTTGTAGGGAAATTTAATTTAATTATTTGACTTACATTTTTCGTCACGAGAAACTTGTCCAACAGTTACATCATCCAGTGGACCATCAACAAGTTTTGCCAGCAACTCTTCGATGAATTGACGAACTTTATCACGTTGCTCATGGGAAACAAAAGCGGCGAGATTTTGCTCTTCATCTTTCATATTTGGAAAGAAAGATTTCAACGTGATAAGATTTCTTAACTAGATAAATACAATTCAACTAACATTTATTATTCATTGTGTCTTCCTTATTTATTTTAGTCACTTCATCGTTGTCTTTCATCTGATTCAGTTGATTTAAAAGCCACTCACCAGCTCTTTGTTGAATCACACTAAAATATTCATAAGCAGAGTTCATTTAGATTTATGTTAATAAATTAAAGTGGAAAGTCTCACCGATTTTTCTGGCACCTTGCACATTCCCACACATTCAATCCATAAACAAATTCAGAGCATTTTTGATTATAACATGCAAGTTTATCGCAACCTTTACAGGTCACAAACTCTTTTAGCTTATCCAAATCCACTTTGGCGTCACAATGAACACATTTATCGGAACTTTTCTTTTGAGAAATTTTTCGTTGACTCACTTTGCTATAAAAAAAATCAAATTGAAAAATTAAAACAATTTAAGAAAAAATGTTAATTAAATATTATTTTTGATCATGAACTATTTTTTTAACCAAAATCTCGTTTATGAGTAAAGTAAGCAAAAATGAAAAGTAAAAAAATTTATGAATTAAACCGAAGTTCCTTTCAAAACGTCATGGAATCTCCGACAACAAAATAGAATGGTTGAATTTCCAATTTTAAAACGTATTCAAAATTCTGCTTCTAGTGATATTTAGCATTAAAATCATTTATAATTTATTATTTTGAAGTTTAAACTTTAAAGTCTCTTTAAAAAAATTGTTTCAACTGTCTTGTTATCATCATCAAAGATCAAATTTAATTTCATGACTTTTTTATTAACTTAGGGTATGTAAAGTGAGGATAAAAAATCGTCAAAACAAATATCGAAAGTGAAAATTAAAGTTGTAAATTAGTACATTATGTACATTGGACAATCAATAATTAAGTCTATGTTGCAGACCTAACTTTACTGAAGCACAAGAATGTTACAAATTACACGAAACACGTAAATAAAGTAATTTGCTTTTATCTATCAAGCCTGATTACATCAAAGCACCACAAGTCTCACTAACATTTCAATCAACTTTCTCGTTACGCAATTGCTGTTCTCTGTTTAAGAAGTTATTTAGTTATTTAGGTATTTGTTAGTAAGCAAAATGATAGCTTTGACTTTAATCTACGAACTTCGAAAGTTAGTTTTGAACTAAATAAATTTTTGGAAAGAATGAAAACATTCTGCAGTTACTCAATGAGACGTTATTAAAACTAGAATCAGAAGCCCATGAAATCTTTCATATAAATGTGTTTCCCATAAACGCGGCTTTTATAAAAGAACATGTGACGTTCTACGTGTGTTTGTTCACAAATGTAGTCGTCATTTCCGTTTTATGCGTTGTTTTTATGGACTTCATTTCACAGTTGACAGAACTTTACAGTGAACTTCTCTTTCTGTTTTATAACATTGTATGTACGTTCAAAGAGAGAATTTTCTAAATGTTCTCAGCTCTTTAGCACACATACTTATAATTAAAATTGCATATATCTATGTATGATAATTCTAAAACATGTGACACCAGTTTCAAAAACCATTTTATTCGTATAAACGACGTTTCATTACAACAGGTGAATGCTTGCAAAACTGAAATATTTACATACATGTAATATGCAGAACTTGAAAAGCAACTAATCTTGAGTAACTTGAAAAGTTCTAACTTCTTTCAGTTTTCATTAAAGCGATTGTCAGTGAATTGAATCGAAGAGTAAATGAATGGATGTTGCAGTGTCATGAAGTTTAGCTTAAAGACTTTCAATCATGGATATGAACTTGAAATGTATAAACATAATTTATTTGCTATTGCATAATATTGCATACTAGTGATCAAAGTACGTAACTATCATCTTATTCTTTACCTAAACAACTTAGCAGTTTGTAAAATCAGGTAGATGCTTGCTGCACCACCGATAAACAGTGAAACTCCAACGCC